GGACCAAGAAAGAAATTTTGATTAACCAGATATCAAAGGATAAAATAATAATAATAATAATAATAATAATAATAATTTTATTATCATTATCGGAGTTATTATTATTATTAAAAAAAATCCTTCAATTTTTAAATAATTGAACAATTCATCGGAAACGAAAAAATCTGAATATAGACAAGAACATTTTTTTTGTAATGCCTCGAATTCCTCTGTTTAGATTATAAAATTTGAATTGTGTGAAATTGTTGATTTACCCAGGAGAGTATTTCCAATGTAAAGAAAATTATAAACACTCTAGGTGTTAAGTAGCACTTAACATCAGAATTTGTGCAAACCGAATACGCATCATTATCTTGGCTTAACCTGGGTCTCGGGTCACAACCAAATAGAAGATTTGTTGAAGAGAAAACAAAAGTAGAAAAAAAAAACAACAACAATAATAACAATATGGCTCTTATTATTTTTACTTGATTTGAGGTGATAGCATGTACATGTTTTCTTTTGGGGAACAATTCGGCATCAACAAATATCCTGTTGGATGCAAAAGATTTAATTTTGTTTATTTTTTGTAAATTTACGCTCTCTCCATGAGGTGATTGCGTAGAATGGATATTTGTACTTGAGTGGGAATGAATGTACACCAATAAAATAAATTCAGAGGCTATGAGGTCTATACCTAATATAGTATCAAATCATGATAATAATAATAATAATAATTTTGATTAAGTACTACTATATAGAATAATAATAATAAAATAATAATAATTAATTTATTATCATTATTATTATTAACTAAAACATTGATTAATTCCAGGTTCTGATTTTGCAACATGGTGAAAAATTCGGCATCGACATAAATCTGAAGTAATCCTGTATAATTTGTAATTTTTTAATGATAATCCCTCTTCGAGACATTATTATTATTATTGAAACATTACCTGTTCAGATTAAAATTATTATTACGTCAAATTGCATTGAGGTCAAGATTGTACACCTAAAGAAAACTACCATCATATTTTCTGAGATGATTCTGCGAACATTTCTTGCATTATGAAGGACCAAGAAGAGAATTTTGATTAAGTACGTCAATATAGAATAATAAAATAATAACAATAATAATAATTAATTTTCTTCATTATCATTATTATTATTATCATTATTATTATTATTATTATTATTATTATTATTATTATTATTATTACGTCATTTTTGCAACCTAAAGTGAACAATTCTCTGAGATCGACATAAATTTCTTGCATTCCAAATATAATTTGAATTAATTTTTTTTTTATTATCATTATTATTATTATTATTATTATAATACAATCTCTTTAAGACATTATTATTATTATTATTATTATTATTATTATTATTATTACGTCACGCATTGAGGTCAAGATTGTACACCTAAAGAAAACTACCATCATATTCTCTGAGATGATTCTGCGAACATTTCTTGCATTATGAAGGACCAAGAAGAGAATTTTGATTAAGTACGTCAATATAGAATACCAAAATAATAACAATAATAATAATTAATTTTATTATCATTATTATTATTATTATTATTATTATTATTATTATTTCCTTGAGATTTTGCAACAAAACTGCCATCAATTCTCTGAGATGATTCTGCGAACATTTCTTGCATTAAAGGACCAAGAAGAGAATTTTCAAATAATAATTTGCTTAATTTTTTAATTTTAATTATCTCTATTCGAGACATTATTATTATTATTATTATTATTATTACGTCACGCATTGAGGTCAAGATTGTACACCTAAAGAAAAAAACTACCATCATATTCTCTGAGATGATTCTGCGAACATTTCTTGCATTATGAAGGACCAAGAAGAGAATTTTGATTAAGTACGTCAATATAGAATACCAAAATAATAACAATAATAATAATTAATTTTATTATCATTATTATTATTATTATTATTATTATTATTTCCTTCGATTTTGCAACATGGTGAACAATTCGGCATCGACATAAATCTGACGCTTCTCAAATATAATTTGCTTGATTTTTTTTGTAATACGCTCTCTTCGAGACATTATTATTATTATTATTATTATTATTATTATTATTATTATTACGTCACGCATTGAGGTCAAGATTGTACACCTAAAGAAAACTACCATCATATTCTCTGAGATGATTCTGCGAACATTTCTTGCATTATGAAGGACCAAGAAGAGAATTTTGATTAAGTACGTCAATATAGAATACCAAAATAATAACAATAATAATAATTAATTTTATTATTATTATTATTATTATTATTATTATTATTATTATTTCCTTCGATTTTGCAACATGGTGAACAATTCGGCATCGACATAAATCTGACGCTTCTCAAATATAATTTGCTTGATTTTTTTTGTAATACGCTCTCTTCGAGACATTATTATTATTATTATTATTATTATTATTATTATTATTACGTCACGCATTGAGGTCAAGATTGTACACCTAAAGAAAACTGCCATCATATTCTCTGAGATGATTCTGCGAACATTTCTTGCATTATGAAGGACCAAGAAGAGAATTTTGATTAAGTACGTCAATATAGAATACCAAAATAATAACAATAATAATAATTAATTTTATTATCATTATTATTATTATTATTATTATTTCCTTCGATTTTGCAACATGGTGAACAATTCGGCATCGACATAAATCTGACGCTTCTCAAATATAATTTGCTTGATTTTTTTTGTAATACGCTCTCTTCGAGACATTATTATTATTATTATTATTATTATTATTTATTATTATTACGTCACGCATTGAGGTCAAGATTGTACACCTAAAGAAAACTACCATCATATTCTCTGAGATGATTCTGCGAACATTTCTTGCATTATGAAGGACCAAGAAGAGAATTTTGATTAAGTACGTCAATATAGAATACCAAAATAATAACAATAATAATAATTAATTTTATTATCATTATTATTATTATTATTATTATTTCCTTCGATTTTGCAACATGGTGAACAATTCGGCATCGACATAAATCTGACGCTTCTCAAATATAATTTGCTTGATTTTTTTTGTAATACGCTCTCTTCGAGACATTATTATTATTATTATTATTATTATTATTATTATTATTATTATTACGTCACGCATTGAGGTCAAGATTGTACACCTAAAGAAAACTACCATCATATTCTCTGCGAGGTTTCTCCGAACATTTCTTGCATTATGGAGGGCCAAGGAGAGAATTTCGATTAAGTACGTCAACAAGTAATAGAATAATAATCATCATCATAATAATAATAATGATAAATATTATTATTATTATTACTGTTATTATTATTAATTTTAATATGTTTATTAGCTGTATTGTAGTAGATGCAACAAAAATTTAAGACACAAATAACGGAGAATTAATAAATAAACTTGAGAAAATAAAGACAAAAAATACCAATTCTATTGCGAATGTCTGGGATATTTACGGTTTAGAAAATAATTCCCGTTCTAGTAACAAAAGAAGAACTGCCTATCACCCGTTTTTGTCTTCTTTCGAAGAATCGTTTTCAAAACAATAGATTCCGGCTTCTTATAATGTCCAACAACAATAATAAAGGAAAGAGGCATAAAAAGTGTTTTTAGAACGCACATTAGAAGAGCGATGTGAACAATAATTTAATACGCCTCTTTTGTTGTTTCTTGACAAATTACCCCTTTTCTCTTTCTCCCTTTCCCATCCCTTTTCTTTCACTCTTATTTCTTTGTCTCCTACCCACTTATGCTCTGTCTTTACGTAGATACCATTCTGTGTTGGTTTAAGACCTTGCCCTCAGACCCTCATATATAGACCCTCATGTATTCATACACAAATATACAGGCGTGGGCTCACATTTATAATAAACTTTGCCGGACAGCGCCTTTACTGGGTCCCTGTTAAAATGGCAAATCCTATTACTGTAATTCCCCACGTATAATACGCATTTTTTAACAAAAAAATAATAAGCAAAATTAGGGGTGCATATTATGCAGTCTTCAAAAAAATTACCGTTTCATTACCGTTTCAGAACCACAATGAAGTGTATTTCCTCGTTGGCTGGCGCTGTAGAACCACAATGGTACCTCAATTGCTGGAGCTGTAGAACCACAAGAAACCGTACCTCAATTGGGATAGAACCACAAGAAAACTGCCTCATTGGCTGGAGCTGAGAACCACAAGAAACCGTACCTCATTGGCTGACGCTGTAGAACCACAAGAAACCGTACCTCATTGGCTGACGCTGTAGGCTGGCGCTGTAGAACCACAAGAAACCGTACCTCATTGGCTGGAGCTGTAGAACCACAAGAAACCGTACCTCAATTGTAGCTGTAGAACCACAAGAAACCGAATTGGCTGACGCTGTAGAACCACAAGAAAACGTACCTCATTGGCTGGAGCTGTAGAACCACAAGAAACCGTACCTCATTGGCTGACGCTGTAGAACCACAAGAAATCGTTGCCTCATTGGCTGACGCTGAACCACAAGAAACCGTACCTCATTGGCTGGAGCTCTAGAACCACAAGAAACCACCTCAATTGCTGGAGCTGTAGAACCACAAGAAACCGTACCTCATTGGCTGACGCTGTAGAACCACAAGAAAACGTACCTCATTGGCTGGCGCTGTAGAACCACAAGAAACCGTACCTCATTGGCTAGAGCTGTAGAACCACAAGAAACCGTACCTCAATTGCTGGAGCTGTAGAACCACAAGAAACCGTACCTCAATTGCTGGAGCTGTAGAACCACAAGAAACCGTACCTCATTGGCTGACGCTGTAGAACCACAAGAAACCGTACCTCATTGGCTAGAGCTGTAGAACCACAAGAAACCGTACCTCATTGGCTAGAGCTGTAGAACCACAAGAAACCGTACCTCATTGGCTGGAGCTGTAGAACCACAAGAAAAAGTACCTCATTGGCTGGCGCTGTAGAACCACCAGAAATTGTACGTCCTTGGCTGGCTCTGCAGAATAATGAGGAACCGTACCTCGTGGGCTGGCGCTGCAGAGCAACAAGGAATAGTACCTCGTGGGCTGGCGCTCCAGAACCACAACGAACCTTACCTGGTTGGCAGGTGCTCTAGAACCACAAGCAACCGTTCCTCGTTGGCTTGTGCTGTAGAATTACAAGGAACCGTACCTGGTGGGTGGGCGCTGCAGAAGAATAAGGAACCGTACCTTTTGGGTTGGCGCTCCAGAACCATCAGGTACCGTACGTCTTCGGCTGGCGCTGTAGAACCACAAGAAACGTACCTCGTTGGCTGGTGCTGCAGAATATCAAGGAACTGTACCTCGTGGGCTGTCGCTGTAGAATCACACGTAGTGGGTTGGTGCTCCAGAAAGACAAGAAACCGTACCTCGTGGGCTGGCGCTCCAGAACCAGAAGGTACCGTATCATGAAGACTTTTAACAGCGGCAACAAGTAAAATGGATAGTATATGCAAATCGAAGCGAAAACAGTGTCATCATTAACCTATTCACGTATCATACCCCATTATGTTAGGAATGAAGCGCCTATCGATAATGGAAAGAGTGATGAGTCTTGAGAAATATATTTTCCTGAAAAAATGTTAATTTAATTGTTTAATTGTTTTAATTGTTTCAAATCTACAAATCAGCCATTTGCCCATGCATTGAGTATTGCTGCCATATATGGTCTGGATCCACTTCTGTTTGCCTCGGGGTTCTTGATAAGATCCAGGGACGGGTATGCAATGTAATTGGCCCTGTTCTGGCATCTCGTCTGCAGTCGCTCTCTCACAGACGTACCGTCACCTCTCTCTGTCTTTTTTTTTACAAATACTTTCATGGTAATTGCTCCAATGAGCTGTTTTCGCTGGCTCCAAGACTTCATGAATTCAAGAGTCCTACGTGGCTGGCATCTCGCTCTGATCCTTTCACTGTTGAAACTGTTAAATGTAGCCGTCTCTTCTACTCCAATAGCTTCATGTCTCGCACCTCTCGCCTGTGGAATTCCCTTCCGTTTTTCTGCTTCCCTGATTGATATAATCTCCAACTTTTCAAATGTAATGTCAATGGACATCTCAAGTTGCCTTAATCTATCCACTATCCTTCTCTTCATCCTTTCCTCTATCACTCCTATCTGCTCTCTCTCCAAATCCTCTGTAAACCCTTGCGTGCTAGGGGCTTCACGCCTTTCTAGGGGTGAAATGCTTAAAAATAGAACTAACGGCTCAGTCAAAGAACGTCAAAAGTTTCCTTATAAGGTAACGGCTAATATTACCATTACCATTCTAGAAGTAAGCAATTTTCTGTCTTTTATTACCATTTTACCGTATCTCTCTCCCCTTATTTGCCATTCTTTCACTAGAACCTTTTCAGTACATTACTCGTTATTTCTTCTGGTACCCTTTCATTCAATATATCCTGTGAGTGTTAAATTCTCAAAACCCTCTTTCCTCAATATCTATCCCAGAAAGTTTTGCAGTTTCTTTTTTAGTGTTACCAGCAGGTACGTTGTCTTAATAGACTTAATTGAAACCAGAATAGCTTACTTTTGTAATGCCCGTATGTAGGAGAGACTTTATAAATCACGCATACAATAATAATAACGACTTCAAACAATACTCGGGTCAGACGCCATGGATACCTCGAGGCGGTGTAGTGGTTAGCAAGCTTGTCTCGCTAGAACAATGACGACTGATTAGTGAGTTCCATTCCTGCATAAATTACTATAAGTAATTTATGCATATTACTTTATCATCTCTCAGTTGCGTCTCTGTCCTTGGACAGAGTGCGCTCAGGGGCTTCTCTGTCAAAGGACAGAGGGGCAACTGAGGAAAATTATACTGAAGAGGTGCCCAGCCCTGGGGAACATCTACCCGAGGTCGCGCCCTACCATTGCATAAGAGGGAGGGATCGGTGCTCGCCCTGAGGCCAACGCAACCGACGGTCGCGGGGGCTGAGGGGATTTTTTGTCCCTGCTCGGGTGTACGCGCTCGTGTCCCCACATTAATCCGACCTTGTGTCACATCTCATTCTCGTGGGGGAATTAGTAAACACCGTGAGTTCCATCCTCATTGGGTACCCCAAACTTTCGGCCTTGTGCCACATCTAAGCTACGCTTGGAAAATCACTGCTCAGTCAGACGCTGCTAATTCCCATGTATGTATTTTTTTTCCTTTACCCGTCTCGTCATCTAATTATTTCAAGATGAGGTCGACTGTGTTTGCTCTCTGTCGATCCGTGTTCAAACCCAAGTGTCGGCAGCGACGCTTTATTCCTGTATAACATTTACTAAATTTTGACAATTGCAGACAATTACTATTGTGGCGAATTTGCTTGTGTGACATAGGTCTTACAATTTTATAAATTCGCGTACTGAGTAATGAGTTCGATCCTCTCTGGGTACCCCCTAATTTCAGCCTTGTGTCACATCTAAGCTACGCTTGGAAAATCACTATAAATTCGCGTAATGATAGACTTTTTGGTTTGTTCCAAACTTAAACTAGTAGAACAAAACAGTTCGCACTGTTAATGCATGTTTACCAGCGTTTTTATGTATCTACTGACAAGTCTATATTACGAATTACGATTTGACTTTTTAAAGACGTGATAGGTCAGGGGTCGGCAACTCATTCGACCCCGCGGGTCGGATCGTGTTATAATGACGGGTCGCGGGCCGGACGAAGGCCATTAATGAAAAATTAAGGAAAATTTACATATGCAGACCCCTGTCAATCTAAATATTTAAAACCATAATTAAAATAAACATTGAGAAATCAGAAAAAACAAAAGAAAATCTAAAATTAAAAAACACCCAACAAAAATTACTTTTCCTCAAGGAACGACAAAATACTTCAAAGTGAAAAGAATCAACCGAAGTGAAATAGACGAAATTATGACGTGTAGGTTTGAAACTGTTATTGAAAATTGTTCCACAAACGAACCACACACACACACATCAAACAAAAACGAAGCACATATACCCATACATACGAGTACAAATAGTTGCAAATATATACACATATCATCCACACATTAATGCGCGTATGTTTAACTGTCTTTAGATTTCTGCTACCTCGCATGTCAGTCCCTCCTTGGCCTCTTTCAGTTTATCGTTCCTTTCGCTTCTGTTATCTTTTAATGTAGCCAAGGGTCATAACAAATATGTATCCATTATTTGACATTAAACGTAGGCAACGCAACTTGGTAAAACAAGTCTCTTGAAAGATAACTGGCAGATAGTCTAATATTTTTAGTGCACTGAGATGTGTAGACATTCTATGGAAAATGACATATAATAAATTTCATTTGAAGGTCGTCTCTCATGGTAAAAATAGACTCATTGGCAATCAGGCTCGCGGGTCGGTCAAAATGCCTTCGCGGGCCGGATCCGGCCCACGGGCCGTAGGTTGCCGACCCTTGTGATAGGGTTTTGTTTCTTGCTTGAACATATTTTATTACTTAAACGTTATTTTTAGTGGACACCCAAATGTCAGTAGACACTTTGTTTATTTATTAAATAGCATATATGTAAGCGTCGTTAGACCAACTCAAACAGGGAATTAAGTAATCGTTCAAATAAAGCTGAATAGTGCCTGAGAAACGCAAATCTTGCTGCGATTCCACACCGAAGGCAGTTGAGTCATCCAACGTTTGGCGTGGTTTATTGTCACATTGATGAGACAGGGTCCGTAGCACCACAAGGAATATCGCGAAGAAGACAGAGATTGCACCTGAACACGACGAATACATTCTAAAGACTGTCGGAGAATTTGCGAATATATATATATATATATATATATATATATATATATATATATATATGAAGAAATATACACTTAAGGTTTGCTTACGTATGGGATAAAGTGCTGAATATAGGAGATTGTCCTGACGATTGCATCAAGCATGAAACAGCCTGTCGTCTCTGAGTGTTGACTTCAATATTCACTGCATATATATATATATATATATATATATATATATATATATATATATATATATATATATATATATATATATATATATGTATATATATATATATATATATATGTATATATATATATATATATGTATGTATATATTTATTCAAATGTTATAACATCAGAACAAAAATAACAATTTCGTTTCAACACTTGTAAAGTGATGGAGTTGATTGCAGAATAAAGCTTTTTTTAAAAAAAATACTTCAAAACCAAACAAACTCCCCTCAATAGGGGAAACATTGTTACGTAAGAACAAATGAACAATCAAAACACAGGTATAATTAAAAAAAACTTGACAACGAACCCTAGATATAATTTAATGTAAATGTTAGACTAAATAAGAAATCATTATAACTAATTACTAATTTGACAATAAAGTTAAAAATTAAAATTACAAATTTAAATTTACCCCACATTAAGCTTGACTTTTATATAATTATTCAAAGAAAGAACGGAGGAAAGTAAAGGATTATTATATATATATATATATATATATATATATATATATATATATATATATATATATATATATACTCTCCCGTTGAAAATATATATATATATATATATCGACTCTCCTGTCGAAAAGCAGATCAGTTTGGAGGAAACTGACAGGCCGACAATTGCACATGAGATTTGATTATAGCGGTGTAGATTTTGTGCAGAACCATCCACACTTTTGATGGGCCGAAAACAGAGACCTGTTGCATTATGTGCCACGTGGTCCCTCAAACGACCCTCCGCAGGTTTTGAATTCAATCCTTCTTCTAGACCAGTTGCCATCCAAGGCTATAGAACCCAGTCTGTTCTGCTATTTAGAAGAAGAGGATTCATACCTTTCCCAAGGGTATTAGCACGTAAGTGAATGTAATGGTTTCGACTGGAATTCGAACTCGGCTCTTCGATTCCTCAATCCAAGCCGCTATCCATTACTCCACCGTGTCTCCTCTCTCTCTCTCTCTCTCTCTCTCTCTCTAGAGAGAGAGAGAGAGAGAGAGAGATAAAAATTGTAACGTAATATGAAACTCTTTCAGATGTAAATTGTCTAAAAATAATGGAAGAATTATTACTAAAAAAGAAAAAGCCAACATTCAATAAAATCAACTATGAACACAGCCACAATGTACTGACCGGGTTGGGAAAATTAACATTCCTATAACTCTAGATAAATATATAAAACAGTCCCAACATTCAGTTAAAAGGAAAAATAAAATCATCCTTGATAATGGCGAAAAGTACACCTGAAAGGTGTTGGGCATACAGAAGGTTCGGACAATTTCTACATAATTTCTGTCCAGTAAAGAAGAATATATATATATATATATATATATATATATATATATATATATATATATATTTAATTTAGGTATATATTCAGTAA